AACCGGTGCTGCAGAGGCTGTGGGCAGCCTCGCAGCCCAGAGCTCAACCACTGTGCCACCAGGGGAGGCCCCATTCTTTTATTCTTATAAGGAAGTCTTGAGCACTGATATTTAAGCCAAGTGCTATGAGTATAACAGAGAATAAAATTTCTGTCATCTCTCCCTGGAAGATTGTACTCTTGGAGTCGAGCTTATTAAATAGTGAATAGTTCAAATAAATATTCCATATAAATTGATTAGTATTATGAAAGATAAGGAAAAGTGTGTGATGAATGATTCTGGCAGATACCTATTTGAGAGTAAAATCAAGGAAGATTCATTGGAGAACGTGCCTGAAGAAAGAGAAGGGCCTGCTAGGTATAGCATGAGGGGAAATAGTCTACTTATAGGGGAAGTGCAGTTAGTGGGGAAGTGCTGAAGTGCTGGCCCAGGGACCCCAGGAAAAGGAGCAGAGGTGATGAGAGGGAAAGGGACTTGGGGTACCATGGGAAGAAATTTTCAAAATACTGTCCTATGTTATTATTATTGCTGTATATTTGGAATGTTTTGATGGCGGGGTATTCACGTGTGACACTCCTAGCATTATGTGAATTCCCCACGTTTTTAGAGTTCTAATCCCCCCATGTTAAATAAATCTCTCTTCTGCAGTCTTGGGACCTGGTGGACAGTGAACATAGCCGTGAGGGTGTGTATGCGTTCCTCTTTCAGTCCCAGAGGGGGTGTCTTCTAAAACAAATTTCTTGGGAGTAATCTTCCTTTTTCTTTACATTTTATACCAAGGATTTATTTAACAGACGCTGGAAATTGCTAGAAAGCATGGAGGAATTTCCTTCTTAATCACTGATATTAGGTAGCTGTGCTTCAGATACATGGATGAAGGCCTCAGGCACTTGCTCAGAGAATCAGCAATTCATAAAATTAGTTATTGCTCATGACTCCAGAATGTTCTGTCTCTTACTTACTCAATTGTATTGCTCTCTTACTGGGCGGTGTAAACAGAAAGAACGCTATTTCTAATTCTCTTTTCCAAATGCAATATAGAAGGTATATGCCCTAAGTATAGCCCTGACAGTCTCCGTGACAGTGTGTGCTATGAAACCCTGCTCTGTGTCCCTTTAAATTCACAACCACATCTCTCACACTGGCACAGTGGAAGGCACGGTATTCTACAGTAATCTTACTGAGCTTCCCTGGAAAAATCATTTTCCCATATTCAGATTTGACTAATTCATTTCCCTTCACATCCTTCCCGAAACTTCCTGCATCTCTTCTATTTCTTGTATAGTGGATCAGTCAGGGTAGGCTAGATTATGCTGTAATAACAGGCAGCCCTCAAATCTCAGTGGTTTCACCCAGCAATATTTCTTTTTTTCACTTCCATGTTATTTGTGGGTTCTCAGAGTCACTCACTACCCACTAAGGTAGTAACTCAGGGATCTAAGCAACCACAACTGGTTACTGTGCCAAAAGCACAGGTATTCTGGAGGGTCCGGCACTGGCACTGAAATGCTCTGAGCTGGAGGTGACATCATTTTTCACCAGGCAGAAGTCGCCACATGTTTCATCCATCCTAAGGGGGCCAGGAAGTTGAATTCTCTAGTGGGCCCAAACAGCTGGGTGATGGGAGGGGGGGAGCCCAGAATCACTTGGCAGACAGCCCTAATCACCTGCACACATTCTTAGTTAGTGATTCATGTTACTTAGTGACTCTCATGGAGAAAATTGAAGTACTTTCTTCCTCCAGTGCCCCCTGAAACTAGTTATCCACCTATTAGCAAATTTTGAATCCTATGTGAATTTTTATCTTCTTTCTTCTTCCAGCTAGTCCTCAAATTGGGAGCATTTTTTTCTCCGATCCAAATGTTATTTGATCCTATACTCCTGTTGGTAACAAATTTTGACAGCGTACAATGGTATCCTACTAAATGGTTAGCAGTTGACTCTCTGGATGAGAAGCAGCTTTGAATGTTAAGTATCTTTTAATTTCTGAGCTGCAAATACTCCACCATGGCCAATTTCCAGCTGCCGAAGTGGGGTTCCTGAATGTGCAGTTGGGGAGAAATGTAAACAGAGGCTCTCTCAAGGGGGTGTAAGTGACGGCCACACACCAACACTAGTTAAATAGAAAGACAAACTACCATTCCTTGAGTCTTCCTGTCTGCTTTGTGATAGTGCTCATGTTACATGTGTGTCTATGTGTATGCATGTGCATATATACCCACACATACATACACATGCGTGCACATGCCTGTTTGAGTAAAACTTGATTTCTTTTTTTAATTTAATTTAATTTTTTTTAAGATTTATTTTTATTTATTTATACAAGCACTGGGTACAGTCAGAAGCGCGGGAGGGTGAGAGAATTCACCAGAGCCAGAGCAGGGAGCAGAGCAGGCAGAAGGACCGAAGGACACTGCTGAGGGGAGCAGCGGGCGGCAGGAGAGGTCTGCGCGCCATGCGGGACCCTCCTCCGGTGGCCGGGGAGCAGCCGGGGATCGAACCGGCGTTGCAGAGGCTGCGAGCAGCTTCGCAACCCAGCGCTCAACCGCTGCGCCACCGGGGAGGCCCGATTTCTTTTTTTTTTAGATTAAAATTAAAATAGCTGCGTATCCCCCGCACCCACTTGGGACTCTAGCAGATTGCTGTCCAAGTCCCCCAGGGTCTGGGTATCTCCCTTGGGAGATTGCCGCTGTAGACACTCAAGGACTTTGATCCTCTGGTTAATCTCTCTTTTTTCTGTGACATCAACCTCTTCCTTTGCTGTAGTTCCCAGGAGTATACAGACAGACTCGTGTATGCTGCTGCCTTCCATTGTGAAAAGCTCACTCCTTGACCTAACTTGTTTTCCATCAGCCGCTCTGTTTTCCTCTTCTCAGCAACAGAATCACTCATACAGATACTCATACTTACTTACTCTTCTTTCATTTCCTCATAATCCCATTCTAATCTGACCTGTTCCCCCCACCCTGCTGAAGTTACTCCTGTCACTGTCACCGGTGATTTCCATGCTGCCACATCTAGTGGATAATTTCTGGCCTCAACTCCCTTGGCCTCTCAGAGGCAACTGACATGGTTGACCACCCTAGCCACCTTGAAACCATCCTCTCTCTTGGCTTCTGCAGGAATATACTCCCTTGATTTTCTCCGTGGTCTCATTGGACGGGCTGTCTTGTGCAAGCAGAAACTGATTTGGGACCCTTCTGTGTTTGTATGGTTTTCCTTGGAGATCTCACCCCTCACCCCTAATCAATAGTCCGTCCTTTTGCTCTGCCTGTAAAATTCTCACTTGTCCTTTCATCTCTGTCTCCAATCTGGACCATCATCACTTTTCTTCCTGACGGTTGTACTAGCATGTGGTAGGATTTTCCACTTTCACATTTGCCTCTTTCCAGTCCATGCCTGATATTTTAATAGAGTGATTTTTTATAAAATATAAACCCAATAATTCCTCTCAACCTGCCCCCCCCACAAGTCCTGCAGTGCATTTAGAGTCGAATCCTGACTGACCTCCAGACTCTGAGTTTCCAGCCTCCGCCTTTCTCTTCATCCCTGTTGCTGGTCATCTGCCTCTGACCCCTCTGCTGTACTGAAGCTGTAGGTTATTCTTGTCTCTAGAATAGCTTGGTTGCCATCCATCCTGCACCTTTGTAATTTTTGGTTGTGCTTCTCGAGTTTGGCACAAAGGCTGGCACATTCCCCCACCCTGAAGACCTCAGCCTAGATGCCAGCTCCTTAGCGAGTCTTTTTATTGTGATGACAGATTTCCTACTGATTTCTTTCTGCCTTAACACAATTTGGAATTGCTTTTCCTCATCTGTTTACCTGATTTGACCCAAATCTCTGTGAGGGCAAGAACTTTCTCTCTGCCTAGTGTTTGGTAGGTGCTCTATAGAGACATGTTGAATGAGGAAAATGTATTGAAGAGTAAATTGTCTTTACTTGTTCATCACGTACATCGGTAATCATCGAAGGAGGCTGCGGAAGGAATTATGTCAAAAACATTGTGGAGCAAATACTAAGAAGGAAGCAATCAGATGAAGCTTTATAGGGTAAATGTAAAATCCCGTGGTTGGATTAAAAAAAAAAAAGTCAGTGTCATTTTATAGAATCAGGGAACTCTGATTTGATACCAATTCTTATTTCCAGCCCCCGGAGACAGAAGTAGTGATTAAATAGTTAATGGAGTCCTAAGCTGCGTCATTTAACCCCTATTAAAAGAAGGAATTATCTTGTGGTTCTCTCCTCCGGTGGCACCAGTAGAATTATCCCAACTGTCTCTGTGCTGTGGAATTCCTAATTCATCCTTTTCGCTTGTTCATTTATTTATTCAACCTTTACCGAGACTTGTAGTTGTGAAAGAAATTGTCTTGGATCTTGTGTCCTTGGGAAGCTCCAAAGAGCAGTGATTGTTCTTTCAAAGCGTTGAGTGTGATCTAGTGTTTAAAGAACTTGTGCACTGGGCCCCAGCGAGTTCAGATTCTAGCTCCATTATTTATCAGCTGTGTGACTTTGGGTAAGTTTTTAAAAACGTGCCTATGCTCCAGTAGTCTCACTTGTAAACCGAGTTAGTGGTAGTACTACCTAGTAAGTGTGTGAGGAGTGAGTGAGTTGGTGTGTAGAAGCCACTGAGAATAGCCATGGCACATAGCAAGCATGAATGTGCGAAGCAGGTACTTTACAAAGTTGTGTTTTCTGGAAGGCCTTAGGATGAAAGACAAATAGAGGGTGGGGAGCAGCAGACCAACGCTCAAATTATTATTATTGTGCTCATGTTAAAGATTCTTAATTGTTTGAACTTGGACTTGAGAATCTTGACTGGCGAGTTGATGGTATCTGTTTGATTTGGTTTTCTGTTTTAGGCTGGACGGAGATGAATCCACTTTAGAAATACCGCCTAAGAGTTGTTATGTTTCTCCAATGCCTGCACAGAAGCACAGTTTTGGAAATAATACAATCATTGTTATCTGTAAACACATATTTTTTCTTTGGTTTTCTTTTAGTGGCAGCTGAAATACCCTAAGCTGATTCTCCGAGAAGCCGGCAGCGTTCCTGAGGAGCTCCACAAGGAGGTCCAGGAAGCCTTCCTTGCGCTGCGCAAGCATGGCTGCCTGTTCCGGGACCTTGTCAGGGTGCAGGGCAAAGATGTGCTCACCCCGGTGTCTCGCATCCTGATTGGGAGCCCGGGCTGCACCTACAAGTACCTGAACACCAGGCTCTTCACGGTCCCCTGGCCGGAGAAGGGTGTGGATGCGAAATACAATGAGGCCGAAATAGCCACTGCTTGTCAGACCTTCCTGAAGCTCAATGAATACCTGCAGATAGAGACCCTGCAGGCTTTGGAAGAACTCGCCGCCAAGGACAGGGATAACATCGATGTGGTGCCGGTGTGCATAGGCCCTGACTTCCCCAGGGTTGGCCTGGGGTATGAAGGGCCGGATGAAGTGGAGCTGAGGAACAGAGCCGCCTACAACATGACTCTGCTGAATTTCATGGATCCCCAGAAAATGCCGTACCTGAAAGAGGAGCCTTACTTTGGCATGGGGAAGATGGCCGTGAGCTGGCACCACGATGAAAACCTGGTGGACAGGTCAGCGGTGGCGGTGTACAGCTACAGCTGCGAAGGTACCAGCTGCCCCAGAAAAGCAGCTCTCAGTGTGACGTGCCTGCCATCCTGGAGGCTCGGGGGTCTGTGCGTGTGTGCACATGTGTGTGTGCATGCACATGGGTGTGCATGTCTGCTTCTGCAATAGCGTGAATGTGTGCACACATGTCATGCACACACGCATGCAGGCTTGTATGCACACACGTGTGCACATGGGTTTATGCATGTGCACATACGTGTACACACATGGGTTTATGCATGTGCACACCCATACATGTGTGTGTGTGCAGAGGTGTGATGGGTCTTTTAGACTTGCACTCTTGCACATCTGCAGAATATGCCTCATTCTCATCTAGCTGAGCTGTTGTGCTCACTGCTACACTGCACTCGGCGTATTTTCGGGTGCAAGCTGCTGTCCTCTTGTCTTTCCCACGCCCAGGAGAGCAGCACCTTGGTTTTGCACAGCCTCTGCCTCTCTGCCGCTCAGAGTGGGTGCACAGTTGCTATAATTAACTTGCTGATAAAGGGCCCGGAAAACAAAAGTCTGTCAAACCTTACCAGGTTCCCACAGGTGCACATTTCCAGTCTTGCCAAAATATTTTATTATGGTTGACATCAGTGTCTTGATGGGAGTGATTTGTCAAATACGGACTTGTTCTTGGCTTCATGCACTATTGACTACTGTCCTTCCTTGCCAGAAGCAGTTGAGTGGGTTTTGTAAAGCAGACAGTTCTCTATTTTCAGGAAACTCTCCAACACCCCTCCACCCCCCTTACCCCCCAGTCGATCCCCCCATCAATTCTGCAGTTTTAGACCTAATAGGTTGCTGTGATGAACTCGTTCTTGGAGATTCTGAAACATTGGTCCCCTTGGAACAGAGATCTTAGGCCTTTTTTGTGGCCTACCCAGATTTTCTTCCTGCTATAGTCAGTTTATGGCTCCACTGGATTTCAGAACTGGGTCATAAAAAAGAAGTTCAACCTACAGAGAGGACAGGCGATGGCTGCTGGCTGCCTCTTTGCCTGATCATCTGAAATACTCAACAAAATATTGGTTCTTTTGTCTGTTTACATCTCCTACTTGTTTATTGGAAGCTGCTAAGTACACCAGAGTTCTAGATAACCCATCAGGGAAAGAACTGGGACGTCTAAGGATATTGTTTTGTGAAAGCTCTAGCTTTTAAATTGGATATTGTTGTTTGTTTCCTAAAATGACTGTCTTGGAAAAGGGATTTAGAGAAGACATTCTTAGGGTGCTCTTTAAATTTCTTAGAGTCTTTCTTACCGTCTTCCCAGTCTCAAAAATGCCTTCAGGACAGCAAATGTTTTCGAACTTTACCTTTATGCTTTCAGCCTGAAACAAGGAACTAGTGTAGCGGTTGGATATTTCACCCATTTCCCTGGCATCTCAAATAATGATGCCGACCTAAGAAAATTGCTGGAAGGGGATTTGATGCTGTCCTGATGGAAAAGACTGCGAGCCTCTGATCTTTAATAAGTCCTTGCCAGGGATTTAAGAACTATCACATCCCAGGACTCTGATGTGAAAGAACAATGAAGTTTGTTAGTTTCTTTCTTAAGGAGACAACTCTGTGAAACTGAGGCAGTGGTATGTGATAGCTCCGATTGCTACAAAGATGTCTTTGTGTTCCCCCTTGCTCTCTGCCCTACAGTTTAATAGTCCTATTGTCCTCCTAAGAGCGTGGGTGATCAAGTGGTTTTTGAAACCTAGAATATCTTTTAGAAAGGAATTTAAATTTTTAATGAATAGTTTCTGTGGCTGGGAGTAGTTAGACTGATAAAATACACACACACACACACGCAACTCACATACACAAATATATATGTAATGCAAGGCTTATCCATGCAGTTATCACCTGCCTGAGGGTACTACTGAATTCACATCTGCAAAGACAGTGTAAATCCTTTGTTCCCTTAACCCCTGAGGTTCCCAGGATCCCCTCTAGAACAGTATCAATACCGGGATGCCTCATTTATTGAGCACCTACTGTGCGAACAGCACCGAGATAAGCATTTTCATGTTTGAGCTCATTTTATCTTTGCAGCCCTGTGGGCACAGCACTAATGTCATTCTCCCTTGGCAGGTGAGGAGGATCCTTGCTCATCCTGCCAGGACCCATCCGCTTCCTTCTCCCGTCTCTCTTCTCTCCTCCAAAGGGCCTGCCCAGCTTTCTGCCATCAGGGGATGGGGGTACTTCGGCTTAGTTTGTTCTGTGAAGTGGAGCTTTTCTCTAGGTCTCTGGCTGCCCATGTGACGTTGGGTGTGATGGTTTACAAAGCATGTGCCTTGGGACTTTCTGGTGGGTGCATTTCTTCCAAGTGACAATGAATGAGTTTATTTCTCTGGCCTTATAACACAGCCAGCTTGGGAGGGATGGGCTTGAACGGGGTCTTTGGGATGAAGTCGTAGTTGGGCTTGGGAAGGCCTTAAAGGAGGTAGACTGGTAACTAGAGACTTGCACTGTTTTCTGTGTCCTTGTCACGCACAGGGAAATTCAATTAGGGTGTCTAGACAGCATGGCTGCTGCAAAGGCGCGTGAAGGGCCCTTCTTGCCTTGAGAGGGTGGCGGGCAAGGGGTGCTTCTGTGATCTTAGTTGTGAGATGATGAAATTCAGGTCTGGAAGGGAGTTTCAAAGTGACCTCGTTTAAGTGTCTCGTTTTACAGATGAAAACACTGAGGTGGAGAGAACAGAAGTGACTTGTCCAAGGTTATATAGTTGTTGAAGTGATAAGAAAGGTTTTCACGCCACAGGAGAGGGTCAGGTAAATGCATTGAGAGTTCAGAAGCAGAAGCAAGTGCTTCCTGCTGAAATAAAATTGTGCTGAAGCTGAATGTCCCTCAGGACGTGGCTCTCAATACCTTTTCCCGGTGAAATCTTCATGTGGATTTGAACCAAGCATCCCTCTTTGGTTTATTTCCTTGAGTAGAGGTCATTGAGAAGTAATTTGTATAGAACACAGGTGGTTATACGCTGAATTCATTGGCTTGACAAGCCGTTCTGGTTAATAGCTATCTTCAGTAGCAAGATTGAAATGGTACAATTTTTAATCAGGAATGGCTTCAGGGAAGCATGTGTAAATAGACCAAGTATTTGATTTCTCTCTTCTGGCTTTGCTGACAATTGCTTCTAGATCTGAAAACAAAACAAAACAAAAACGCAACTAAATTTCAGCAGAGAAGGTATTAAAAATAGCTTATATGCTCCTACACCTCGTTCTTTGACTAGAACACCTTCAAAAGAAAATCACTTGAACAGTAACTATTGGTTATTATCTTTGTTTTTTGGGAGAAAACATATTTTCTGTGACTTTGTCACAGGAAAAATAATTCTTAAGAATTTTAACTAGTTAAAATTGCACATCCTCAGAGTGATTCCAGAACCCCTGTGACAGGTCAAGGAGGGTAAGGAAGAAGAGCAGTCCCTGACTCCTGCCGAGTATGGGGCACCTTAGAAAGTAGGGCTTGGCAGTGGTTTACTTGAACTTTAGATTTCCCATCCTTGTCTTTGAGCAGGAAAAGCTGAGCACATTTACGGATGAAAATTTGTTCCCATAAATTTGTACTCAATTCTTTGAAATGAATAACTTTACATTTCTTAGCTTACCTCTGAGATTGTGGAAAGAGAGATTGTAATGGCAGCTAAGAGTTTTGGAGCATTCGTAATTTTAAAAAATGCTCTGATATTAATTTTTTTCTTAGCTTCCCAGCTTCCTTGTCTAAGGTTTGAAACTCTTTTGAACTTGCTTTCACTGTGTTGTGTTATATCTTGTCAGTTTATTTTGAAGTCACTTGTACTGCTCAGGAACACTTGTTTGGTCCTATAAGTCAAATGAGAAGTAATTATTATTGATTGAATCAACGGTAAGCATTTACTATTTGCCAAGCACTCTGCTAGATGCTAAACATATAACAATGACAAAGAATCCCTGCCTTCGTGGAGTTTTTATCCCAGCAAGTGGAGACAGAAAATAAATGAAGAGATTGTATGTCAAGGATGAGGCCCAGGTTTACAGTTTTATTTTTTATTTTATTTTTTAAAGATTTATTTATGTATACAAGAGCTGAGGTACAGGCCAGAGATGCCGGGGGAGGGATGAGAGGATCCACCAGAGACAGAGCGGGGAGCAGAACATGCAGACGGACTGAATACACTGCTGAGGGGAGCAGCGGGCAAGACAGGAGAGGTCTGCTCGCCATGTGGGTTTCTTCCTGGTCAGGGATCGAACTCATGCCGCAGAGGCTGCAGATAGCTTCACAGAGCAGCGCTTAACCCGCTGTGCCACCAGGGAGGCCCCACTTACAGTTTTAAATAGGAAAGACAGGCCCCCCCTTTAGAAGGTCACATTAAAAAAAAAGCCAGGAGCATACAGTGGCGAAAGGGAAGTCTCTGCAATGAATAGTGCTGGGAAAATTGGTGAGCCCCACGTAGGAAAATGAAATGAAACTAGACCACTTTCTCATACCGTAAACACACATTAACTCAAAATGGATGAAAGGTTTGGATACCAGACTAGAATCCATTCCAAACAGAAAAGAACAGAAGCAAAACACTCCCCGACATTGGCTACAGGGATGTCTTTGGGGACTGGAAGGAAAGTAAAAGCAAAAGTAAACAAAGGGGATGATATCACACCAAGAAGCTTCTGTACTGGGAAAGAAACTATGATTAAAACAGAAAGACACCTACTGAATGGGAGAAAGTATTTGCACATTAGACATCGGACAAAGGCCTAACAGCCAAGATCTACAAAGAGCTCATACAACTCAATAAAAAGGGAACGAAGAACCCAGTCAAAACACGCGCAGGCGCTGAATAGACCCTTCTCCAAAGAAGACAGGCAGATGGGCCTTGGTACAACATTCACTGTGTGAACAGGGCCAGTTTCTCCCCCTTCATTTTTTGCCTCTTTCTGGAGTCGCTTTCCTCTCTTGAGCCAGGTGAACATCTCGACAGCCCCCCAGTGACTGCGATCGTTTTGGGGCCACCCTTTTCCTTTTTCATGAACGTTGGGTGGGATGGAGAGAAGCTGGGTCTCCACCATCTACCCTGAGCCCTGCATCAGGCTCTCTGCTCTTTGGATTAATCCACTTTGGTCTGGTCTTCTGCATTATTTACAACATAAAGGTTTCCTGTGAGTCTCCAGGACTCTCTTGGTAACTTTCCTGAGGTGGCCCAAGGTATAACGATCTCTTTTGTTAGAGGCTCTGGTTTGAAGAATGCATTGTTTGAGAATTAGCCTGCTTCCTTTCCTCATTTCATATTTTACCTCAGATAATGCAGTGGTTTTGCAGCTTTTGCCAAGAACCCTCAAAGCAATTTCTCTTTCCTTTTCTCACTTTTACTTTCTTCCCACCCCCGTCCATGAAATATGGTGTCATGAGCTTTTCCAATGTATATGAATGTTTATTCTTAATTTTCCCCCCAAATGCTTAATCTGAGAGCTGCCAGAGCCAGGCATCATTTTGAAGGGCTTCACATTTTCAGTAAAGAGTTTTCAGTATTTCTCCTAAAATCGCAGAAAACGTATCATTAATTTTGCAATTTATCTGGGTCAGGAGACCGTGTTTGTCCTGAAATGCTTGTTTCCAGGCATCTGAGAACAACTTTCAATTAGAGATTCTAAGCCTGCTGTTTTGTTTTCTCTTTATACTTCGCTGAATTCTTCATTTCTTCGAATATTCATTCCTTAGGGACTGAGGAGGAGAAGGGAGGTGGTCTGTGTCAGCGCAGGTCCCACGCTGCGCTCCTCAGGAGCAATTGCAGAAAGCCTTTCTGGATCGTAGGCCTCTGCCCGGAGTCATCTCCTTAGTGCCTCTGTCCTTCTTACGGATTGAGCCCTTCAGGAGTGTTTCCCGAATGTTCTCTGGCTTATGCCACTTGTCATTACTTTCAAAAGGTGTCTTGAAAAATTACCCCAAGTCTGCACATAGAAACTTCTGTGTTCTGGGGGGTCATTTTGGAAAACAGATTGGATATATGAGAGAGTCCATCAGTGTAAGTCTAGCCCTCTATGGCCTGGCCCCTGTCCACTTCGCTTGCCCTGTCCCCTGCCTATCCACCTTCCCCCGACACTCTTGCAACTCGGACTCGATGATCTATATATGCACTGGGCCATTGCTCTTTTTAACCAGGGCTCTTAAAAAACGTATTCCCTGTCCCAGACCAAGAAATGTCAGAGGTCAGAGCCGGACGGAGATGGCATCGTTGGCTGTTGTGTACCACTCGGCCACCGGCACCTTCTGGGCTTCTCTGCTTCAAGTTCAGTGACATGGTCAGGAAGGGACTCACTGCTGAGGCCTCTTAGATGTGGGGCAAAGAGAAGACAGAAAGTAATTGCTAGCGTCAGTCTTAGTCTTAGCACTTGGGTAAGGGAATAGAAAGTCAGGCTATTTTTTCATGTCTGGTGATGATGAATATATACTTAAGAGTATTAATGGTGTATCTTATTAAATAGGTTACAGAATTTCAAGTGATGTCTTTCATGTGATTAGAACTTTAATCTCTTCCTTCATGCTCAGTTTCTATCTTTGTTTCCTATGTCACAGAGGTTGCATACAGCTGAAACGCATAAACAAAATATTTGATGGCCTTTATCTTTTATTAAAGGCAGTTAATTTTTTCTCAAAAATGAGTTAGCATAAAAAAATCAAATAGGGGGCCTCCCTGGTGGCGCAAGGGGTTTAAGCACCGCACTATGAAGCAATCCACAGCCTCTGCAGCACGAGTTTGATCCCCGGCCGGCCAGAGAGTACCCCACGTGGTGCAGCAGACCTCTCCTGTCTCACCCGCTGCTCCCCTCAGCAGTGTATTTCAGTAGATCTGCCTGTTCTGCTCCCCACTCTGTCTCTGGTGAGTCCTCTCACCCCCACATCTCTGGCCTGTACCCCAGTTCCTATATGCATAAATAAATAAATCTTAAAAAAATCAAATAGGTTATTTGGGAGGATGTTTTAACCTTTTAAGCCTGATGTTTAAACTTAGCATTCTTTGACAGCAGGGTTAGCGGGAGCTGGGAATTCATCTAACACTGAGACATCTAAAATCTTTCCAGGGTTATTGAAGCTTAAAGGCAAGTAAGAACCTATTGCTTCTGTCTGTTTTCAAAATAACGTGGGGCAAGAACAATCAGTTGCAGTTGCTATAGATAATTACAAGTTAATTTTTTTGAGAGAGGGAGCACACTGTACTTAGGCAATAAAAAATGTGCCTGGAATACAGCTTCCCTCCTTCCTACCCAGCACAAGGAGGGAAGCAAATCTTCAAGCAAACATTATTTCAGTGAGCACATTTCAAAGGTGCTGGATTTATGGGCGACGTCAGAAACACTGATTGCCGTTCCTGTCTCTGTCAGTCAAGGCTTCATTGGTGCCATGTTGAGAAGGGTGCCAGGTGAAGTTGGAGGGGAGGGTAGGCAGCCACGCCCGTTTGCCTGTGAAGATCAGCGCGTCTTCCAACATCCATGCTCAGTGCTGCCACCTTAATTATTGGTAAAATTCTCCTGTGAAGCTCTTGGGATCTTTTTTTTCCTGAGAGAGAGTTCTTTGACAATTTCCTCTATACCCCCTTGGCTTGTTTAACTTTTCTATTGCTTCTTGCAGTCAGTTTTAATAATTATTATTTCCTAAAAAATCTATTCATTTAACTTAGATTTTCTAATTTATTTGCATGGAATTTAACAAAAATGTCTTTCTTCCTCTGCTTACTAGCCAAGGTTATTTCCTCACTGCTTTAAGATTTTTTTGCTTAAGAAATAAATGGCATATTACAAATATTCCTAAGTGTGTTTTTTTTTTTAATGTGGCATTAAAGGAGGCTCCACATCACTTAACTATCAATAGTTTATTAAAACTTCAATTATTCCTTAGAAAACTATTATAACATCCAGAACGTCAGTGGAAGCATCTGTTTTCTGATTGTTTTCTTCTCTTCTGATAGGCCCTGAAGAAGAAGACAGTGATGATGACCCTGAACTTGAAGGCAGAGACCCTGACACCTGGCATGTGGGCTTTAAGATCTCGTGGGACATAGAGACCCCTGGCCTGGCCATCCCCCTTCACCAAGGAGACTGCTATTTCATGCTCGGTAACTAGGAGGCTCAAAACTATGTTGATGCTCTGTTTTCTACATTCTAGATTACTGGGTGCATGTTTTGACATTTACTTTTCAGGTATTTTATAGTAATAGTGAAACTTATGTACGTCAGTTTCTTTTTTTTTTAAGATACTGCTGATTTTTAAAGTTGCTTTTCTTTTCATCCTCAGTGTCTGTGGCGTTCCCCAAATGCACAAAACAATTTTTAGGATTCTTCATCAGAACTACTAAATCATCTAAATCAACTCATCAGAGTAAAGTCTTAAAAGTATTTTCCTGCCTCTATAAGTTCTTAACGAGAGAGTTTTTTCTAGTTTTGAATTTAGTTCTTCCCTGAATAGCTGGGTCTTTCTCTCCTCTCCTCATTTAGTTCTCTGGAAGCAATTTTTGTGCTGTGGTTAGGCTAACCGAAACCGTGGAGTTGGTTTTTGCTTTTTGGCTCTAAGTTTCTGGACTTCCTTCTTGTTCTCCAGCTTTACTCAGAAAGCTCCCCAGAGTTCATTCTCCTCTTGGTTCTACCTTCTGAGTTTTCAGAGTGGATCTTGCTTTTCCCTGCCTGGGGAAATCTGCTTCTGCGTTTGTTTTAGAGCCAGGAGCCTCAAGACTCAAACCCAGCATTCATGATCAGAATCAGTTCATGATTGATTGATTACTTTGAGGGTCCGCTCTGATCCAGGCCCCGTCAAGGTTCTAGGGGAGATATTGGAGACGGATAATACTTGGAATTTGCCTTCTAGGAATTCAGAATTTGGAATAACTCTTCAGGCCATTGCTTCATTAAGTGTTTTCCAAATTTCAGTCTTTCAACTTCTTTGTTCTTGCCATTGTGCTGCCTGTTCTTGTTCTTGTACTACCTGTATCATGTACCATTTCTCTTTAAAATAAACTTGCTTCTTTTCATTTACTAAGATGAACTTACTTTGAAGGAGATTTTATATCACTGTCAAGTGGAAAACCATCCCTTGGCATAATTCGAAACGTTTTGTAAATATGTAGAGAAAGCAAAACAGTACTGGGCCTCCCTGCTGGCGCAAGGGGTTAAGTGCCACACTATGAAGCTGTCCGCAGCCTCTGCAGCATGAGTTCGATCCCGAGCCGGCCAGGGAGCAACCCACATGGCACAGCAGACCTCTCCTGTCTCGCCCGCTGCTCCCCTCAGCAGTGTATTTCAGTCAGTCTGCCTGTTCTGCTCCCCACTCTGTCTCTGGTGGATCCTTTCACTGCCCCCACCCCTGCATCTCTGGCCTGTACCCCAACAGTACTGAGCACCTGCTGCTTTCATTGCTGAAGATACTGTGTCTGAGTTTCAGACTGTCTATGAGAGATGAGTAAGTAACTGTTAGGGACCTGTTAACGGTGTCATGGTGCCAATCTGAGAGTTTCCCCCTAGCATCAGCAGGAAGATTGGAAGGTTATTTTATAGGGAAGTTCCTTTTCACAATCTGATTCATTGGTACGTTTAGTAATACGTTTCTTTACCGCTTGAATTCCTCTGGTAGGGTGAGTCCTGCAATTGTTGAGCCTGGATCTCAGCAAACCCCGACTGCTTTCCATTTGCACACCACTTTACAGTTTACAAACCAGTTCCACATCAGCCATGTCATTCAGTCTCCTAAAGCCTCAGAAGGTGTTGTAGAGATTCTTCTTTTGAGTGATTTTCCTATGTTCTCTCAGTATGAGGCAGAACAGGGCCAGAGTGGGTCGTTGGTGTCATTACATTTCCCCACTCCGAACGGGATCACTTAGACTTGACCCCGATATAGTGAAATCTGTATGGGGGTGTATTTAGGGTTAAGGTCATCCCCTCTCTGCCCGTCCCCACCTTGCTTTGGGAACTAAGTTTCTGCTCTGAAATCTTTGCCTCATTATCACATGTCATTTGTGGACAAAACAAATGTATCACCCAAATGTGGATATTTACTTTGAGTCTACATGGCTGTTAATTTTGGCCCCCAAATCACTTTCCTCGGATACTTTGCTCAGGAGTTTCTATTAACGAGTTGCATCGTCAAAAGAAACAAGAGCCTAATGGTGCCATTTTTAATAGCTTTGTCAGTTTTCTCTACATGAAGGAACTGAGGACACACAGGCTAAGTTTCAGCTCCTTCCATTTATTTAATAGCATCTTATGTCTTCCTTTCTCATAGAAAAGTAATACTTGCTCACTGCAGATAAAAAGCCCTGCAAAATAAGTTATGAAGGAAGAATATAAAAATCAGTTTCATGCTTGTTTTACTATATTCTAGTGTTTTTCTCTATATATAGATGGAATAATAGTAATATATGCATAACATTCTTAATAATAACAAAAAAGTCAAACTTTAAAAAAAAATCTCAGTGACACTTACCCATGTGGGCTCTGACGCCCCGTGTCCCTCTCCCCACAATGTGGGAGCCCTGCTCCCCTCACACCTGCCCTCGGGGAGATGCCCCTGCCTCGCCTAGTGACTCTAGGACGAGACTCTCAGGAAGGGAAGCAAAGGGGACATGAACACGACCCGTGCGCATCCTTCTTCCCCGTTTCTTTTTAAATTTAAGTGGTTCTTGCCTCCAAAATAGATGAAGAACGAAAATATTAGTTACATTGTCCTTTCTTTTTAAAGATTTTTTTATGCAAATAAGAACTGGGGTACAGGCCAGAGGTGTAGGGGGTGAGAGGATTCACCAGAGACAGAGTGGGGAACAGAACAGGCAAACTGACGAAATCCACTGCTGACGGGAGCAGCGGGCCAGACAGAAGAGGTCTGCCGCGCCATGTGGGTAGCTCCCTGGCGGGGAATCCAACTCATGCTGCAGTGGCTGGCGATAGCTTGGTAGTGCTGAGACATAGTCCCTTGCACGTCCAGGGTCTTTTGACTTAGATTCATGATGAAGATACAGTTGAAAATAACATTGTGTGTCTTTAACTGCTATACTTGAGAAACAGAAGTGGGTGTTATGATTTGATTGGATCTGATATCCATGACAAAATACCTGTTCCTGATCTCCGTCTCCTTCCCTTAGACATGGGTGAAATAGCTGAAATGGGCAGACTGCTCCATTGGGCTGGCCCAGGCCAAGGGCGCTGCACCCAGAGTTCACGTTTAGAAGCTGTTTTCTTGCTAAGGTGACATACTTGATGCCCAAAATGAATTTTTTCTGTTTCCTCTTAAGCAAAATGGAACAAAGCAAAACTAAAAGCAACTACGGCCTCATGCTAACTTTCCTCTTTACTCTTTAAAATCCAAGTAGTATCAGGAACCCCACGGAGGGCCACAGCCTTGGGCAGGTATCTGAAATCTGAACTTAGCAGCACTTATGAAAAGGAAACAGTTTAGCTCAATTTATAATAATATATTGGTCTGCAGAGGAAGTGCAGGCTGAGCCCTGCTGTCTCAAGTAAATACTCCAGGGGTGTCTGCTGGGGGAACGTGTCGGGTGCCTGGAACAGATCCACCGCCTGTGGGGGAGAGGGCGGGCCCGCGGGCCGAGGACACGCTTCACTGGGGTTGTCACGGTTTTACTTTTAAATTAGAATCTTTGCCCTAATCTCAGAGTTGGACAAGACCAGATTTGCAAACAGATTTACAATTTTCACTAATTTTCCAACCAGGACTTCAAAACACACTTAAGAGGGGGAAAAAAAGCACACTTTGGCCTTTCTCAGGGAGGATGATTTACTTCGCCACAGATGTTTTCCATAGAGCGAATGTAAGCGGGGAGCGAGGGACTTGACAGTGGCCGGGAGACAAACTTGGGGTTTGTTTTTTTTTTGTGGGCCAGATTATACAGTTCAAGGGACAGCAACCAAATTATGTTCATTAACCAGGAGCTGGCTGTGGAGGTGGCTGTCTTAGGACAAAGGTGAACGCCAGGCAGACACAGGGGCCCGTGTCTTCACACCCCGGCCTTTCATGTACGATCACAGCTTCTCACAGGTGACGCCGCCTGATTCTGTTCTGCGGGTCTCTTAAAGCTTACGTCCTTAAATCCAAGTCAATATCCCTTTCAGACGTCTGTTAGGACAACCATCAGCTGTTTCAAAGCTTTTGTGGCCAAGCATGAAATTCCATAGCGAGAAAATGAGAAAAGCTGTAGAACTCACAACGCAGTGTTTCTTTTTGTTTCTGCCTCACTTCACCAACATTTTAGGGGAGAGCGACGGCCAGGTCACTCGCTCTCAGGTGACCAGGTCCCATGCTGGCCGCATTGTCTGCAGGCCAGGTGTCGTCAGCGCCCTGTGCGCCTTGGCCTCTGGGGTGAGGTCACCCTAAGACTGCTTGTCCCCAGGGTTGTTGTGAGGAAGAAAATACACGGGAAGGTGTCTTGCCAACTATGACTGAATGTGGGGTTGTATCAAAGAGGCCCGAGCCTGGGCCCTGGCTTTGGAGAACCGGCCAGGCGAGGGGTGACAGCGTGCCGGGCATCATGCTCCTCTCTCGCCTCCTGCTCCCCATCTTGCTTAGCCTTGCATCTAACTGTTCCATATACACGTTTCCAGAGCCACAAAGAAGAAGTGCAAGAAAGGGCAACCTCACTAATTGATTTTTTGAGCACGAGAAGAGCTGACATCCGGCCCTGTTGAATCAGCCCTGGTAATCCCGGTCTCCGTGGCAGAGGCTGTTTGCCCCAAGAGCCTGGCCAGTGAGCGGTGCTTGACAGCTCAGACCCATCTTCTCTGGCGTAGCTGTGACTCAGAGCAGTGAGCCCGGAGCTCCTGACGGACTCCTCCTTCTGTTTCTGGAGTGCTGAGAGCACTGTGGTTGGAGTCTGCAGCTTGGGTGCAGGGAGAGCAGAGGCCTCTGGGCGTTTCCAGCCTCTTCATTGGGCTGCTGGGGACCGGCTGTGGCAAGTGGGGTGTCCCTGTCAGTCCTGCAGGGGTCCCTCAGCCCTGCTCCGAATTAGACATTTCATTCAAAGGGAAAGGCTTTTGTTATTTTATCCTGCCACCCTTTCTCTCCTCCCCTCCCCTCTGACTGACGAACTGAAATAAAAAAGTACCCATAATTTAT